TAACTTTACAGAATGTGTTTTCAACATGCACTGACCCTGATAAATCGCGTGACAACGTGACGCCAAGGTATTCTACTATTGTGCATTTTGGTACGGGTTCATGATTGTTTGAGAGGGTGGGGAGCCCATCTGTGAGGGCTAAATATGGTACATCGGCCAAGAGGGGAAACACATCCTGCAATTTAGAGGCATTCAATGAGTGGGAACAGGACATGGATTGAGCAACAACGTCGTTTATCTTGCTTCGAATTTCTGAAGTCTCTTCAGGGATGGATGCTTTGCAACCTAAAACAACGTCACCTGCGTATTTACAGGAGGAATGAGAAATTGTTTGAAATACATTGAAAAGAAAAATGGGGAAAATATTGCACCTTGCAGAACACCAGAAGCAACTGGGCGAGTGGAGGATTTTTCGACGTTGAGGCAGGTAAACTGCCTTCTATTTGTAAGATAATCGCGGATCAATCTGCTAACGTTTGGATTAACACCACTTTCGATAACCAGGTTGAGCAATACCGATCGATCAAGACTGCCGAAAACGTTTTTGTAGTCTAAGAACACCATTCTGACGGTCTTACTTTTCTTATCTGGTGCTGAAATTATTGAACGAACAAGCTATGCAACGGCATCAAGTGTTGAGCGCGAAGAACGGTATGTAAATTCATGTATGTCATCTTCGGCAGACTCAGTGACAACCCACGGTAGCATCTCTCAAATTATTTGAGCATGACTGACGTGCAGGCGATGGAATGATACTTCCCAGGTTCCCTTTACGGAAAGGGGGTTATCTTGGCTAGTCTCCAAATACCAAGGATTTTTCCACTTATCAGACAGTCATTGAATAGTTTAGACAATGGGGCTGAAAGGGTGTCCGCACATACCCTGAGTACCACGAGTGATAGTTCATCCGGGTCCGATGCTTTATTCAATTTTGTTTTCAGTAGCTGTTGAAGGACTGTGGCAGGCTCGAATACATACACAAGAAAAAGCCGAAAAGTTGGAAAGCAATGGGGCATCCGTTTCAGGTTGTTGGATATCACTCGCAGCATCTATTTAATCCGCAATACGGATCGCTCGCACTGGACGGGACACGTGAAGTGCCCGATCGAGCAATTCCGATTGATGCGACCAGGCAGCAAAGTCTATTTGTCTTGCATCACATACCGTGTGAAAACCGAAACGAGTCGCCCACAGAGAGAATCAAATTAACACACGCGAATTGCTAAATTCACATGTTATCAAAGCAGTTGGTCACCAGTGGAGAGATTACCAGAAGCTCTCGTACAGCGTCCGATAACTGCTGACAAGTAACCGGCTCGCATATTTTCAACAGGTATGGATACATTTACATGTACACACAAATACAAACAGCAGCCAAGTTCACATTTGCAGAAATGCCGTACATGGCAAATAGCCAATGAAGATCGTAAACAAGCGTGAACGCAGTGAACACGTGACGGTACATGTAGAGGAGCAAAACAATGATAACGTTGTGAATGCCGGTTCACCGGGGATGCACACACACACACACACACACACACACGATCTGGGTATTCCGGTAAGAAAACTGCAACACATCGCAACAGATCACATTTGCAACCGAAGGATCCCCTCAAATGTATTGGATACAACCGATCAAATACGCACGGGGAACCGCTTGATTAAATCAGACCTATCAGTTTCAGTTTTAGTTTGTACGACCATTAACCATGCACTTTCATGCGCCGGTTTTGGTTGCTGTCTTTTGGCTGTCCATTTGCATGAAGAATAGAAAGAAAGGAAAGTTAAAAGTAGAGCCGAACAGAAAATAGAAAATTTCAGTGGTCTAAGGTTGCGAAGAAATTGAGATGCATGAGCGCCACTGTTTACGACACCCAGCCATATCACTAGGTGTCTGTAGCCATTAATTACAATGGGCCCGAGGTCCCCAGCCATTCAGGCCTATGGTTGCCCGGAACCAGAAGTGCAGATAACAATGATTTCACTCCACTTACGTTAAAGGAAAAAGCCACTGGAACAGGGGCGCGACCTCTAGCATTTAGAACCTACCATCCAACTAAATGGTGAGGCCAGACACGAAATCAAGCTTTGGATCGACCGTACGAAGAAGGCATTCCTACAACTTCCTAAAGCCTTATGGATGCGCAACCAAATAGACCTTCAAAGATGATCAAATCAAATGTGGATGGTCTAGGTCAATTTTTGAGTTTGTGACTGGTGCCACAATTGAATTGGACGGCATGCCGACATTGCCGCAGATCGAAGCGCACGGACAATCGCAATCAGACACATGCAAGAAATCGACGTATACTCACCCTAAAATGAAAGTAAGAATAAGATGTCCTGATACGTATCTCATCCAGAACACCCAGGAACACCCTGGCAATAATGATCATATTGAGTCTGAACATGCTCCAACTTCGGTAGTAAGTGCTGCTGTCAGCTTCCATTTAATCGGTTACCGACATTAGTTCGGCAATAAAGGGCTTGAAGAACGAGTAAACCGTTTTCGAAAAAAAGGAGGCAAAAAAATGGATTGAAACGCTCACCACAGATACGGTTGTTGTTTTTATCATTGTCACTGTCATTGGCACTATTAGCCATCTGAACTAACCCAATTGTGTTACAGATTTTGCTCCTGATACGGAATCAATCTAGCTTCAAGCACGATATACGTCTGATGATACAATGCAGAGAAACAAAATAAAATGGACCAAGAAGCTGGAATTAAACAGATGTAAAAAACCGTACAGCGTTGTCGGTAGACAAACAATCTAGGACAGCTTTAATGAGGAGGGGGATCGGAGTGGGTGGAGAGAAAACAAAAAAGCTATCGGACATCAAACGGAAACGGAGNTACAAAAATCCAACCGAAACTTTGTGCTTGTGTGTATGCGTGCGTGCGTGCGTGCAACGGAATCGGGATCGAATCTAACAGGGATGTGGATGACGCAGCCTGCCTGGGCTTCAGGGTTCCGCGTCAGCCACTCGAACTAACAGGCCCATACACAGTACCGCAGTAACAGAGAGGCAAACAGGCAGATAGATGCACGGTCATGCACGCGGACACACACGGGGCAGCCGCAATGCGTTGCTACACAGACGCACAAATACATATCGGTCAGACAGGCACGCGTCCGTGAACGGTCAATGAATCGATAACATACGTACACACATACCTACATACAGGCGTAGAGAAACGTAACATAACATTTAACGGTCGGTATAAACAAATCGGTATTAGTAAGGAGTATGAATATAAACGCGGAACGGGATGGTCGGCGAAAAATGACCGTGACTTGGATACTGTCCAAGTCAAAATGTTCCGTTTGAACCCGTCAAGTGCGGAACACGGAACTCAAAACACACATACACAAGACAGAGTGCCCAAACCGGCAAGAGAAAATTCTTGGATGCCCCAAAACGGGTGAATACGAAACGCCACCGGACAAGTGAAAAGCGGGAGTTAGGTTTGGCATCGTTTGCAGACAGTCGTGTTAGATTTCAGATTTTCTACGGCTTAGCCGCATAGCATCAACCTGATGACCGGATGGTAAAATTTTAAAGAAAAGTTAGTATCAACTTGGTTGGGTGGTATTGGTCTTGTTCCACACGTTCATAAAATATACTGAAGATACACGTCGACTGGAGTGAACATAATCAACCCATTGGGAATGATTCCTCGATAGGTGAAAGCAGAATCAATTCATATGTTATCATACGCATACACCTCTGTGACAACGTTCGGCACATCGTCTGTTTGATTATATAGATTTTTTGACACACTTGAATGATAAACAGCAGACGGGCTGAACCCCATGGTCACGAAGACCTACTATTCTGTGATGGAAATCTGTAACCTAAGCTTCGGGACTTGAAGTGGCTAGCCACATAAAGCTCCGTTAGATCAGGAAGACAGCAACGTTGCCTATCAACAAAGTTGGATGGTGGTGTCAGAGCTCGAACCCTGGACCATAGGGGCGATTGATTTCTGGTGGCTTGGCCAAAAGTAAATTGAGTTTTACGGCAGTGTTAAGATTTACTTTGGTCAGCGGTACGTATTGGAGGTAAAGTTATCATTTGACTTGGTAGATCGATTGTTCTTCAACTGAGCGATAAACTAAGGGTTGAGTGGTTGACCCATCCGGGTTTTAAGATGTTCTCAAGTAGACCCGGTTAAATCACAGCAGAAGGAACAAGCCTATGGAGTTATAAGCACCTACTGGGTATGGGGAGGAGAGAGAGACACCAGTAAACGAAACCCCTTAAGATCTGGTCAATGTGATATTGTCCTGGACAGTGTGGTTTCACACATTCGCCTTCTGATTTCCGATCTGTCAGTGCTCGGTTTCCAGGAATTAACACCAAAACTCGAGATAGAAAGAGTACGAATGATATGATACGGATAAAAATTAAGCGAGACAAAGATACCATGCGTGGCCCCAGATCGCGAATAGACAAAAAGTAAACCAGATAACCGTGAATAGGTGAGTAGTGTTTCACTGAATATATGGTCATAGATGATCAGAACGTGGTGGTTCTAAGCATGGCAGGCGATTTTTTGGCAATAAAAAAGGTTCGTGGTTTGTGAATATGACCAACCACCAAATAGGAGCATTGACATTATTCCGTTGCCCTACAGGTAGCACCTGACTCTGTACACATAGCTAGACTGTGTTATCTGTTTACTAACCGTATTCGTTCACCTCCTTCAGTCTAAAGTATCATCATCATCATCATCGTACAGCAAGATGCAGAGAAGTGAACTTCGCCGATTGCTGTCCAGTTCAAAATGTACACACACAAAATGTACGTGATAAAGTACCAGATCGATAGGGTTTGGGCTTAAATGGAGAGAGGTAAAGAAAGTGAACCTCTATGGTCAACACACAGAGTGCACAATCGAACTCTGCATAAATACCGTTGCCAGCATTCTGACCTGATAAGAAATGACGAGAAAGACATTGCTGTCGGTTACTTGCCAGATCCTTTAGAGTCCCCAACCAACCAATTGCAGTCTTTTGGACCCTGCCTGGAAGATGGGAGACACCTGAATTTCTTCCGTGCATTTCTTCATGTCTCGTTTCCACGTCATCTGCCGACCTCCGCGTGGTTTCTTCCAATTTGGAGCCGCAACTGCGAATAAGGTGCGCTGCGGGGAAACGATAGTTTGGCATGCGCAATACCTGTTCTAACCAGCGAAGCCGACTAATCTGAATTAGATGGGACAACGAATTCTCCATCGAATCATTAGATGGAAGATTCGTTGCTTCAACCACGTCGCGGTGCCCCTAGCTCCTGTGCAAGCTTTTCCTCGTACCGTGCAAAGACAGATGGATCGAGCCGACGATGATAAGCTAACTGAGGTGGCTTTTGATGGTCCATGAACCGAAGCGTGAAGTACATCAGAACTAGGGCGTAATCAGACTTAACGTAGGTAGTCTAATAAGATCTGCAATTTTTTACTGAACCACGCTAACGGCAGATTACAGCTATGTGATCAATTCGGGTCAACTTGCCGGCACGAACACAATGTTGTCGTCTGACGAGAGCTGTGTCGAAAGTTGGTGCTAGGATAAGAGCAGCCGGTGATCTGCGCAGAACTGAATTAGTCGGTTATTGTAGTCTGTTCGCTTGGCGGAAGAACAGACTTCGGATGCCCGCACTACAACATCAGAGTTACAGTTCAAACAGATGACCTCGGTGAGCTTGTCGTGAAGTTCGTCCTTTCGAGAATTGGGACTGCATGTGGTCGGTGCATATACCGATATGATGAACAAATACCTTTTGGTGTTTCTGCCCTTCCGAACACTAACTGGACCCTGGAGCTTCATTACGTACAAGCAACTGTTGACCGGTATCCAATTTATCAGTGAGGCTTCAACCTTGCCGCTTAGTACGATTCCTACACATTGCTGACCCAAAGAGCGGGCTTCATTGTCTCCTGGTGTGCGAAGACAGACTCGGTGCACTCAGGTGGCTTATACTACTAGGACCTTGAATTTGTCTCTCCGAAACACAACGGACATTGATTTCCAAAGAGTCCATTATAAGCGCAAAACATGCTTGTTGACCTACCTGCATCAGAGCCCTCACGTTGAAGGCCAGAATCAGAGGTTGACGAGGCTTCAGCATATGCACCTTATTTAGTGTTAAAATGCTTAGTACTATTTGGCAACGACCTTTCGTGACTGGCAAACCAGTTGCCTGATGGGATGTTATGGTTTGGAAGAAGAGGCAAAGAACAGGGGTTTACAGAAGACAAAGAGTTAAACAAAAGTTAAAAGTGATTGGTGTGCGCTGATGTTGTCTAGGGCATGTTGCAGTATTAGGAGGACTGCGAGCACCATCGTGGTGTTTAGCATCAGAAAAGCATTTTCTAGTCCATTATCGATTGAGGGGTAAAAGATGGAGGAGAGGAAGCAAGCGATGATAGCAGTAGCCAGTTGTTGTATTGCACGCATCCCCCTCCCCTCACAGATATGATCATCGAGAAACCACTCACCCAGATATGGGATCCCGGGCAAGGAGATCGCGTTCATGTGCTCCCGTTGACGTCGACAATTGTCGTTCTGGCTAAACAACTCCTCTAGACGACGATAGGTACTCCTATCTTTGTTACCCAAACCGGCCCAGGTGTGACGTAGTCGATAAATGCACTCCACTTGGAGTGCAGAAATGATCGACATAGCTGAATACAAGTTGTTGTAGTCGACCAGTTTCTAAAAGAAAAGTGAAAATGGAAAATGGGGACAATAGGAGATGAGTCACGAGCAACAACTGATCGATTTGAAGGGAATTCAACGGAGATATTACGGACATGCTTTTATGATACGTGTCTTCAAAAGCACCGGTTCAATCTTTTTCAGCGAAAATGCATCTGGATTACCGGTGGACAGTTAAGTTAGTTCAACAGAACTTGAACAGCAATAGAGAACACTACTATTGGACTTTAGCGTAAACAAAAAGGACAAAAGGTATATGGATAATTTATACTCAGATTCCGAAGTTACACAATATAGCAACCGCATCTGAGCCACCCGATTGTTGTGTTCCTTAGTGGCACTTCCCACTTATCTAGGCTCTATACGACGAGCATGCATACCTAAGTGAGCAGTAAAGAATGGATCGTTTTTTTTTATTACACACCAGTATGTGATGAACAGCAGACTGGGCGGACCCCATAGTCACGAAGACCTGTTGTTCAGAGATGGTAACCGGACACCTAATCCTTAGGAGTTGGAGTGGCGAACCAAGTAAGGCCCCAATAGATCAGACGTAGTATAGAACCGGACGACAGCAAAGCTGTCTACCACCAAAGTGTGACATGTTATTATTATTATTCAACACTTAACCAATTACAGAGCTCTGGCAAATGTGCCACAATATATGAACAAAAACAAGCCGGTAGAATGTGTTCATAGGTTGTGGGCATGTTACTTCCCGGTTTCCCTGACTGAGGAAGGAGGATAACCTCGCAGTAGCCATTCGAAGCCTTTGGCTGGAAAGCCAGACCTGTAAGGCAATAGGAAGGAGCTCATAGTCCAGTCCATTGGGGGTCGGTGTCCAGTTCATTGGATAATACGCCCTTTGGACAGGGTCAAACGGCCAAGGTGCCCAATACACCTGGATGCCCCCTATAGCCCCGGATGTTGGCTTTTCGCCCTCTCACTTTGATGGGGAAATACATCCGTCACGGGAAGGCAGCAAGTATGGCTTCTTCAGCAGAGGATATTTGAGACGCTTGACCACATAGGATCATTTTTCGAGGTTTAAAGGAATGGTGACCAGTCACAATCTGAGACACCCACCCCGAGCGTACTGAGGCTTTCGGAGCCATGTGTGACATGAACGAAGAAGTTCGGTCGGGCCTGATGAGTAACTATCGACAATGCTGAGATTGGAGAACCACGACACAGATTTTGCACTGAGACCGTTGCACACAAACAGAAATCGGAAGCCAGGGTCTAACTGGCAGCTAAATGGTTCCGTTCTTAGAGGAAGCAAGATCACAATTTCATTGGTTCGTTCGGTTCAAACAAAGGCCGATTTTGCGTTTCCATGAACTTATTCAGGTCACCGCCTCACAGAAAGAACCTACACTATAGATAACTCCAATTAAGTGAAAGACGAAGCAAAAGATTGATGCAAACAAAGATGGTGGGTCAGTCTGAAGAATTTGTTTCTGTAACCGAACGTATTGAGAGATAAACATGAAGAGCGATGGATTTGTGATAAGAATAACACCTCGAAACCAATAGAATGTCGTATTTCCTGTGACATATTCCAACGTTTTGCTCTCCATTGGTTATCCACTTCTCCTTTGCGTTCCAGAATGCAGCCTCACCCCGGAAAACCGCTGAACAGGCAGAAGAAGCCAGCATGAGGGTAACTGAAACCCAAAGCCTTCGGTAAAGAAGGCGTACACAGCATCCGAAAACAGTGACGTCACAGTGAGCGGACTAAATCTACTAGTATAAGAAGCTCTATGGTTGGGATCATATGAACCCCTGAAAAGGGTTATGCGATCGGGTCTGACCAATTTTAATGAGTTTAGTTTCGAAATAGAATAACTCTGGTTGTTTGTATGTATCCCAGAAAGGATCTGTTTGAATCTCTGCGAAATAAGTTTGACTCTTATCGTATAACAGTCGAAGACACTACATCATCCGACTTCTTTGAAGTGTTCGTGAACAGCAGATCAGATTGTCACTACGTCACAATTGTACTCAGTATATTTTCCATTGGTTTTAAGTGCTTGAGCTATGTAAAACAACTGGTTAACGATAGCTGTGTGCTTTGACAAAAGCTCACTGTTTGGTACAATCTATCGGGAAGCGTTCTCCTGTTCGCTCTTCTGTAGGTGTACCCCAGCAGAAATAGATCGGATAAAATTAATTTATTACATTTACAGTCTACAGCAAAATAGAAGGTTCCTTTTAGTGTCATTAATGTCACTTCTATTGTAAGTGGAGTGTAACAGAATGTGCCAAGTGGTCGCCAAAATACTGACCATTGCATAAATAGTTGGGAAGAACCCTGGGATTTTTAGCAGAGCTTACAATTTTTTTCGGTTAGAATAGACAAAATAAACTATCAAAAATTGGTACTTGAAACAGCTTTGTTGCCAACGGATGTAAGGAAGTTTAGAACAAGTTGCTATCGAAATGTCTCTAAAAATGTCAGATCTTCGAATTAGTGAATACAGCTGGGTTGTACAACTCTTGGAGTGCGTTTTGTGCGTTCGATCAGACAGACGTCATCAGTGTACTTTGAGCCGTACAGATTCCTTCTTCTGTCACCCATTCAATACCAACATTTTGGAGACCACTTGGTGCATTCTATTGGATTTTTTCTCCGACGAATTGGAATAGGAATGGGGACAATTGATAAGTTTTCTAACTACTTGATGTTGATTGGGTGGTCTATTGGGGACCTGGGATGGTTGACCCCGTCTAAAAAGCGTATGATTCAACTGGACACTGACCCTCAATGGGTTGCAGTTTTTACACAATATTCCGCTACCCTGTGAGTGAGGCTGTGGTTAGCCGAAGACTTCTGTTATGAACCCCTTCCCCCTCGAGAAATTCCATCTACTTTGAATTTGGAAACAAGGCAGTATTCCACTCACGAGCAAATCCCGGACCCATTTCTTTAAGGATTATTGTACCGTGATTTTCTAGTCTGGTCATATTAAAATTTTCAGTCAGACCCATTGATAACTCCCCATGTCTACACTAAGCGGCCTGGAATATTATTATATTTACCACCGGCTTGAAAACAAGCATGGTGCCAACGCAACAACAATGACAGTGAAGGGGATAGGTGGATTAGGATACAGAACATGGTGAAAAGTGGGTGAGACAGTTAAACATGGAAAATACAAGATAACAGAAATTTTTTGTGTTTCACCGTACACCTTTTACAATTTTTTTTGTTGTTTGATGCTTCGTTTTT